CCAGCTAGAATCCCACTGTGAACTGAAAACACACCCCTACCACACAAAAACTTGACTCTCTCTCTCTCTCTCTCTCTCTCTCTCTCTCTCTCTCTCAGTATCTATGAAAACGTAATTCTCGTTTCGGAATCCGAACAGGACCAAAAAGAAATTCGATTAAAAATCTCCGTTATCTCTTCTCCATTTTCGCTTCTTTTCTACGAAATCAGTGGATGCACTGGCCGCGCTTCATTTCTTATTCTTTGAAAGGTCAGTCCCAACGTTTCTCTCCCTCTCTGTTAGATCTTGTAGCTCACTTGCATTGATGAAGATTGTCGTTCCCGCGAAATCTGAGGTTGTGATTTCGCCTTTCTTTTCTTAGATTCTTCTAAAGCTCTTTTTGGATTCGTGCATTTTCTTCACATTTTCAATTGAATTTCTAAGATTTACTATCGGTGAGCTCAGACCAATTGATGTTGCCATTGCTCGCTGTTTGATCTGTTGTTTTTTAGTTAATTTTCTCGAAATTCAACTTAGCTTTGCTGAGACTCGGCTTTCTTATTGATAGGCCTTTATTTGGTTTCTGATAAATCGGATGAAGGCCCTATGACATCGGAATTCTTTCTTCATTTTCTTCTCCAGATATCCAGTTGTGACATTCTGTGTTTTGTTTCCGGTGCTGGTGAATTAATTATTTACTGGCATATTATGGCAGCAGAATTGATCTAGTAGGGTAGAGCCGTAAATTTCGAGTGATTCACTGACGTAGCATTTTTTTTTTTTTTTTTGCATATGACCTGCTTTAATTGTCGTCATTGCTGTTGAACGCATTGAGTTCCTCTTTCTCTTTGATGTGGTTTTGGTTTGATTAAGATGAATTATATCTAATTGGAGTGATTTCCGTCTGATCTGTATTTATCTGATATTATAGTTAACAGTTTGTCTGACGTTTCGTTATTTGGCAGGGGCTTTGATGTTTTAACTCTGTGCTAGAGTAGATCTGGAGTGGGGCAGGGTTCTGGATCAATTTTATTTCCGCAATCTTGAAGTCAAGTGAAGATGGCGACTACACTGGCTTGGAGGTTTTCTGCCAGCAATGGCAGCAGCCTTGCCACCAGTGAGACGGTAATTTGGCTGATTTCATTCATTTTCAGTAGATTTTATTGACTTAGCCCTGAGTAATGCACCAATAAAAATTTGTTGAAGAGACTTCAAAGTGCTCCTTGTAAAACACTGAGTGCTTAGTTTATATTAGATGTTCTAGATCTAATTGTTCCCATTCATATCACTGAAGCTTGACTTTAATTTAAAAACAAAATGCAAGCCAAGCAAATCTTTAAAGATAACTAAAGAAATACCTCTATAGTAATTTGGAAAGCAAATATGCCATAGGCATCCCAGAGGCAATTTTCCCCTTAGATGCAGTCAAAGTTCCTAATGTGCGATTGAAACTCCACCATTGCTCTTATGCATGTTATGATGCAATAGCATTGCTAAACTTTAGGATAATGCTACTGTTTATAATGTATTTGTTTGGTCTCTTTATTAAATTTCCAAATTTACTTCTTTTCACTGTTGTTGCTTTTTTTTATTTAAAAAAAAACTGTTGTTGCATTTCTATTTTTATCTTCTCAGTTGCTTCCTTAATGAAAACTAATCAAGATGTTCTTCTTTTATCAAATTTCAACTTTTCTTTCTTTCTTTTTCTGTGATCTTTCAAGTCACTGTACTCGGTTTTAAATGTTGGAATTATTAGCTTCAGCCGGAAAATGTTATTTACCTAGTTAACTTTTCTCTAGAACTGAACTTTCGAGTACTTTGCTGTATAATATTATTTCAAGAAGACTATGGCTTTTGGCACACCTTTTATTATGGTTTACCAATTTTCTCAGGACTTAGATCTGAGAAAGTTGGCTGTCCCTCTTTACCACCCATTCGGGAATGAATACAAAATTACATCTATTTTTAGAATCTATTATGGATCATTTAGCAAGCCAATAATTTATTGAAATGCTTTCCATGTTTTGTTAACGCTGTTGATAATTTCTTTTAGGCTTATTGACTTTTTTTTGTTTATGTCTTCTCAAATTCCAGGACAAAAATGGAGATCCAAAACTTCAAGAATCTGAGCCCGCAACTCCACATTCAGTCGTAAAGATGGGTTTGAGGTAGATGCAAGCTTTTTTCGGTAGAAATTTTCAGCTGGAACTATGCACAACTTTAGGCATTAACCACTTACATTGCAAAAGCTGAAACTACTTCCCTGCCTTTATTCTTTGGATGATTAATTGTCCATCTCAAATTTCTTTGTTCAATCTTTCAGAGAAGTTTATGCTCTTTCTTCTCTCCTCTATTTACTCTTCGGACTGATCCTTTTTCGGAAAAAGAAAAAACCAAATCTGAAAACTGCATGGACTATATGAAGGATATGAGGTCCAATAGGGATTTGAGATAATAATGCTCAAGTACCTCAGTCTTGGAATTGCTTGCTGATAAAAATTTTTGTTTTCAAGTTACAGTTTATATATTTAAAATCTTTTTGTGGTCGTATTTTAAATTTATGCTCTTTCTCTCTCTCTCTCTCTACTTGTAGGTGAATTTGTTTATTGGTAAAAAATTTCTACAATGTTGACTTTATCAGGGTTATCTAAAATTCAATACTAGGTTATTTATAAGAGTATTTTCGTAACATCCAAAAGGATGCAGTTCTAGCTTAAGTTACTGTAAAATGACTTGCAGAGAGCGTACTAGCAGCAGTGTGGAGGATCCAGATGGAACATTAGCAAGTGTTGCACAATGCATTGAACAGTTGCGGCAGAGTTCCTCTTCTGTGCAAGAGAAAGAATATTCCTTGAAGCAGTTGCTGGAACTTATTAATACACGTGAAAAAGCTTTCAGTGCTGTTGGATCTCACTCTCAAGCTGTTCCAGTACTTGTTTCTCTTCTCCGATCAGGGTCACTTGGTGTGAAGATACAAGCTGCTACTGTTTTAGGCTCGCTTTGTAAGGAGAATGAATTGAGGGTAAAAGTCTTGCTTGGAGGATGCATTCCCCCTTTGCTGGGTCTCCTTAAGTCCAGCTCACCGGATGGTCAAATTGCAGCCGCAAAGACAATTTATGCTGTTTCTCAAGGTGGTGCAAAGGATCATGTTGGCTCCAAAATTTTTTCAACGGAAGGAGTTGTGCCAGTGCTCTGGGATCAGCTACAAAATGGCCTCAAGTCTGGAAATCTGGTTGATAGCTTGTTGACTGGAGCACTGAAGAATCTCTCCAGCAGCACCGAGGGATTTTGGTCTAAAACAGTACAAGCTGGAGGGGTGGATATACTTGTGAAGTTGCTCCCAATTGGACAGTCAGGCACACAGGCTAATGTATGCTTTCTTCTTGCATATATGATGATGGAGGATGCATCTATGTGCACTAGGGTCTTGGCTGCAGAGGCTACAAAGCAACTCCTCAAGTTGTTAGGAACTGGTAATGAAGCCTCAGTGAGAGCAGAAGCTGCAGGTGCCCTTAAGTCTCTTTCTGCCCAGAGTAAAGAAGCAAGACGTGAGATAGCGAACTCTAATGGAATTCCTGCTTTAATCAATGCTACAATAGCTCCTTCAAAAGAATTCATGCAAGGTGAATATGCCCAAGCATTGCAAGAGAATGCCATGTGTGCCCTTGCAAATATTTCTGGTGGGTTGTCATATGTCATATCAAGCCTTGGTCAAAGCCTTGAATCGTGTTCTTCACCTGCTCAGACTGCTGACACCCTTGGGGCTTTAGCATCGGCTCTGATGATATATGATAGCAAAGCTGAATCTATGAGAGCATCAGATCCTCTGGTTATTGAGCAAACATTAGTCAAGCAGTTCAAACCTCGCCTGCCATTTCTTGTGCAAGAACGTACAATAGAAGCCCTTGCCAGTTTGTATGGGAATGCAATACTCTCAATTAAACTTGCCAACTCTGATGCAAAGCGTCTGCTTGTTGGTCTGATCACAATGGCAACCAATGAAGTTCAAGATGATCTTATAAGAGCGCTTTTGACACTTTGTAACAATGAGGGCAGTCTCTGGTCTGCACTTCAAGGCCGTGAGGGAGTTCAGCTGTTGATATCTCTTCTTGGACTTTCATCAGAACAACAACAAGAATGTGCAGTTGCATTACTGTGTCTTCTATCTAATGAAAATGATGAAAGTAAATGGGCTATTACTGCTGCTGGTGGTATACCTCCGCTTGTTCAAATTCTGGAGACAGGGTCTCCTAAAGCCAAGGAAGATTCTGCAACAATCCTTAGAAACTTATGCAATCACAGCGAAGATATACGTGCATGCGTTGAAAGTGCTGATGCTGTTCCTGCGTTATTATGGCTTCTGAAGAATGGAAGCCCTAATGGGAAGGAAATTGCAGCCAAGACATTGAACCATTTAATTCATAAATCTGATACTGCAACCATTAGCCAGCTTACTGCTTTATTAACCAGTGACTTACCCGAGTCTAAAGTCTACATTTTGGATGCTTTGAAAAGTATGCTTTCTGTGGTTCCCTTCAATGATATATTGCGTGAAGGCAGTGCAGCAAATGATGCAATTGAGACAATGATTAAAATATTGAGCTCGACTAAGGAAGAAACTCAGTCTAAGTCAGCATTTGCCCTTTCTGCTATTTATCAAAACAGGAAGGATCTGCGTGAAAGTAGTATTGCTGTTAAAACCCTTTGCTCAGTCATGAAGCTGCTGAATGTTGAGTCAGATAACATCTTGGTAGAATCCTCCCGTTGCCTTGCTGCAATTTTTCTTTCAATTAAGGAGAACCGAGATGTGGCTGCTGTTGCCCGAGATGCATTGTCTCCCTTAGTTGTGCTTGCTAACTCTCCAGCTCTCGAAGTTGCAGAGCAGGCAACATGCGCTCTGGCTAATCTTATTTTGGATGCTGAAGTGTCAGAAAGAGCTATTGCTGAAGAAATTATTTTTCCTGCCACTAGGGTTTTACGCGAAGGCTCAGTCTCTGGAAAGACCCATGCAGCTCCAGCAATCGATCGTCTGATTCACTCTCGCAGAATTGATTATGCCTTACCTGACCGCTAAACCGTTCCGGAACCGTTCCGGCTTTGATATCTTCCCTGAATACGTCAGAGGTGGATCTATTGCTATGTCGGAGGCACTAGATGCACTTGCTATTCTGTCAAGATCAGAGGGGGCCAGTGGGAAGATAAAACCAGCATGGGCTGTTTTAGCTGAATTTCCAAAAAGCATATCTCCTATAGTTTCATCTATTGCTGATGCAACTCCCTTATTGCAGGATAAGGCTATTGAGATATTGTCTTGCCTTTGTCGAGATCAGCCTGTTGTTTTAGGAGAAACAGTTACTAGTGCCTCTGGATGTATAGCCTCAACTGCTAAAAGGGTGATCAGTTCAGCAAACTCAAAGGTTAAAATTGGAGGAGCTGCCCTTATTATATGTGCTGCAAAAGTTAATCACCAGAGGGTAGTGGAAGATCTTAATGAATCAAACTTATGTACCCACCTTATTCAATCTCTTGTTGGGATGCTTAATTCTACACGCACTTCTTTGGGGAGCCAGGGAAGTGATGAAAAAGAGACCATTAGTATCTGTAGGCATGCTAAAGAAGAAGAGGAAGGCAGAAACAGTGAATCTGGTATTGGAACAACAGTTATTTCTGGTGTCAACTTAGCTATATGGCTTCTCTCTCTTCTTGCTTGTCATGATGAAAAAAGTAAAGTCACAATTTTGGAGGCTGGAGCAGTTGAAGTTCTTACTGAAAGAATCAGTAATTGTTTTGCACAATACTCCCAGGTAATCAGATTTCTTTCGCATAATGTTTGTTGATAATGGACTGAGTAGGAGTAGAAATTATGAAACACTTGGTGTTGCAACATTAGCATTATGAACATTTTGTTTCCTGTTGTATAAAGGAAATTTGATTGGCCTTCTATAATTATTAAACCTTTTTGCTTTGTGATACTCTGCAGATTGATTTTGGAGAAGATAGCAGCATATGGATTTGTGCTTTACTGTTAGCAATTTTGTTTCAAGATAGAGATATAATACGAGCACATGCAACCATGAAATCCATCCCAGTATTGTCAAATCTTCTGAAGTCAGAGGATTCAGCAAACAGATATTTTGCTGCACAAGCAATAGCCAGCTTAGTCTGTAATGGCAGTAGGGGAACTCTCCTGTCTGTTGCAAATTCTGGTGCTGCAGGCGGACTAATCTCCCTACTTGGCTGTGCTGATGTTGATATACAAGACCTCCTGGAGTTGTCAGAGGAGTTTGCTTTGGTGCACTATCCAGATCAAGTTGCTCTTGAGAGGTTGTTCAGAGTTGAAGACATTAGGATTGGAGCTACCTCTCGGAAAGCAATACCTGCCCTGGTTGATCTACTGAAGCCAATTCCGGATCGTCCTGGTGCACCTTTTCTTGCACTTGGGCTTTTAACTCAACTTGCAAAAGACTGTCCATCAAACAAGGTTGTTATGGTAGAATCAGGTGCATTGGAGGCATTGACCAAATATCTTTCTCTTGGTCCGCAGGACGCAACTGAGGAAGCTGCTACTGATCTTTTAGGGATCCTATTTAGTAGTGCTGAAATTCGTAGACATGAATCAGCATATGGTGCTGTAAGTCAACTTGTTGCTGTTTTACGTCTAGGAGGAAGAGGTGCCAGGTATAGTGCTGCTAAAGCTTTGGAGAGCTTGTTTTCTGCTGACCATATTAGAAATGCAGAAACTTCTAGACAAGCAGTCCAACCCCTGGTGGAGATTCTTAATACTGGTTCAGAGAGAGAGCAGCATGCTGCTATCGCTGCTTTGGTTGGATTATTGAGTGAAAACCCATCAAGAGCCCTTGCAGTTGCAGATGTTGAAATGAACGCAGTGGATGTCCTTTGTAGGATCCTTTCTTCAAATTGCTCGACAGAGCTGAAAGGGAGATGCTGCAGAGTTATGTTGTGTTCTTTTTGGAAATACAAGAATTACGTCCACAGTTGCTGCTGCACGCTGTGTTGAGCCTCTGGTCTCTCTCCTTGTAACTGAGGTCAGCCTGCTCAGCAGTCAGTTGTACGTGCCTTGGATAAACTAGTTGATGATGAGCAACTTGCAGAACTAGTTGCCGCACATGGTGCAGTTATTCCTCTGGTTGGCCTTCTCTATGGTAGGAATTATGTACTTCATGAGGCTATTTCCCGGGCTCTTGTGAAGTTAGGGAAGGACAGGCCTGCTTGTAAAATGGAAATGGTGAAAGCTGGAGTAATCGAAAGCATACTTGATATCCTCCATGAAGCCCCGGATTTTCTCTGTGCTGCATTTGCAGAGTTGCTCCGTATACTGACAAATAATGCTACCATTGCTAAGGGACCATCTGCTGCTAAAATGGTTGAGCCCCTTTTTCTTTTACTTTCAAGGCCTGAGTTTGGGCCTGAAGGACAGCATAGTGCACTACAGGTTCTTGTAAATATTCTTGAACATGCGCAATGTCGTGCTGACTACACACTTACATCACACCAAGCTATTGAGCCACTTATTCCCCTGCTTGATTCCCCAGCTCCAGTGGTACAACAATTGGCAGCTGAGCTTCTGTCACATCTACTGTTGGAAGAACATCTTCAAAAAGATCCAGTCACACAACATGTGATTGGTCCCCTCATGCGAGTTCTTGGATCTGGCATTCACATATTGCAGCAGAGAGCTGTGAAAGCACTTGTTAGCATTGCTCTAACATGGCCAAATGAAATTGCAAAAGAGGGTGGTGTTAGTGAGCTGTCCAAAGTGATACTGCAAGCTGATCCTTCACTTCCTCACGCATTGTGGGAGTCTGCTGCCTCTGTTTTGGCCTGTATTCTGCAATTTAGTTCTGAATTTTATTTGGAAGTTCCTGTTGCTGTGCTGGTGAGGTTGCTCCGGTCTGGCTCAGAAGGCACAGTGATTGGTGCCTTGAATGCTCTTCTGGTGTTAGAAAGTGATGATGGAACCAGTGCTGAGGCTATGGCTGAAAGTGGAGCCATTGAAGCTCTTCTTGAACTCCTCAGGGGTCATCAGTGTGAGGAAACAGCAGCAAGATTGCTGGAAGTGTTGCTCAATAATGTGAAGATTAGAGAATCAAAAGCAACTAAATCCGCCATCTTGCCATTATCCCAGTACCTTTTGGATCCACAAACACAAGCCCAGCAGGCAAGGCTACTGGCAACTTTGGCCCTTGGTGATCTATTCCAAAATGAGTCCCTTGCTCGAAGTGCTGATGCTGTTTCAGCCTGTCGTGCCCTAGTTAATGTGCTCGAAGAGCAGCCTACTGAAGAAATGAAGGTTGTAGCTATATGTGCTCTGCAAAATCTTGTGATGTACAGCCGATCAAATAAGAGAGCTGTTGCAGAGGCTGGTGGTGTACAGGTTGTCTTAGATCTGACTGGTTCTAGTGATCCAGAGACCTCTGTTCAGGCAGCAATGTTCATTAAACTTCTCTTCTCTAATCATACAATTCAAGAGTATGCCTCAAGTGAAACAGTTAGGGCAATAACTGGTAATACCTCTATTTCGTGTTTCGAGTCTGCTTTCGTTGATTTAAGAAGAATATATTTTTGTTTTACTGTTGATCCCTATACATATATTTTCTTTTTTGGTTTTATAAGTTTCTTTGCTTCGTGGTTTGATTTGCTTCAAAATTTTCAGCAGTAGCTCATTAAAAATTACTCTTTCAAAACCTTTGCTCCTTCATTTGTATTTACCTTTAACTTGCATATCAGTTGCACTAAGTACCAGAATTTTTCATGAAATTTAGTATGTAAGTTTGACAAGGTCAGTATCTTGGGAAGTGGAATTTTCCTGCAGGCACTACTTTCTTAGTGAACTCTTCATTAGTAGACTAATAACAGTACATGTTACTTCAAGAGTTGAACAATAAGTCCATATTTTAGAGTTGAATTTCTATAAAAAGATGCATAGATATTTTCATCCCCATGTATCACCTTAGAATATGTGAAGAAAAGAAAACGTTCCTAATGGTTCTCTGAAGGTAAGCAAGATGAAGCAGAACTCTTGACCAATTTTAAGAAAGGCCTGTCTTGTACTCTCTTCTTGTTGTTGACGTACTAGTGCATTACGGTCATTGGTATTTGTTTTAAATTTATGAGCCATTATTCCTTTTCTTCAGTAGGATCTCTTTTCTCTTATATGATCTATGGAATGACACGACAGAAACATTAATATAGAACAAACAAAGCTTGAATACAATACTTAGAGAAACTTCATTAAGAACAAGAAGATCAGAGTTATCTGAAGTCTTTAGACAAAATAAACTTGTAATTTTTTATTCATTATTTTGTTTACATTTAGAAGATATATATAGATTAGTTATCCTTATTCTATTTGAACTTTAATTATAGGATATAATTATATTATTAGAACTATAAATAATATAGTATTCTACTTAACATAAAATTCTTATCAACACTCCCCCTCAAGTTGGTGCAAAAATATCACACATGCCCAACTTGCAAATCAACATTTGAAGAGATTTGTTGCATAGTCTTTTAGTGAAAATGTCAGTCACTTGATCGTCAGAAGATACATGATATAAGCATAAAGAGCCACTAACCATCTTCTCTTTTGTAAAATGTCTATCAATCTCAACATATTTTGTCCTGTCATGTTGAACTGGATTATGAGCAATGTTAATTGCTGATTTATTGTCACAAAACAGAGATAGTTTCTCATTTTCAAGCAGTTTTAACTCCCTCATTAGCTTTTACAACCATAGTACTTCACATACTCCTTGGGCCATTGCTCTATATTCTGCCTCAGCACTGAAGTGAGCAACCACACTTTGTTTCTTACTTTTTCTATGTGCCTAAGTTGCCTCCTACAAGTGTGCAGTACCCTGTAGTTGATCTTCTATTATCTAAGGAACCAGCCCAATCGGCATCTGTAAATGCTTCTATTTTAAGATGATCATGCTTAAAAAAGAGTAGACCTTTTTCTGATGCAGATTTCAGATATCGTAATATGCGAAAGACAACATGTAAATGAATCTCACGAGGATCATGCATGTACTGGCTCACAAGACTAACAGTATATGCTATATCGGGTCTGGTATGTGAGAGATAAATGAGTCTTCTAACTAGTCTCTGTTATATTCCCAAGTCAACTGATGTACCACTACCTGCTTGCAATTTGTGGTTGCTCTAATAAGTGATTTTGCCGGTTTGCAGTCCATCATACTAGTCTCTTTTAGTAAGTTTAAGATATACTTCCTTTGAGAAATGAAGATTCCTTTATTGGATCTGACAATTTCAATCCCCAAGAAGTATTGTAATGTTTCTAAATTTTTTATTTCAAACTCTTGAACCAGAAGTTCCTTCAACCGAGCCATCTCCTTTGTATCGTCTGCAGTCACCACAATATCATCCACATAAATAATGAGAAGAGTGACTTGACCCTCACGATGTTTAATAAATAAGATATGATCCGCATTGCTTTGTTGATATCCAAAAGAGATCATAATTGTTCTAAACCATTCAAACCATGCGCTTGGAGATTGTTTCAATCCATATAAAGTCTTTTTTAATTGACAAACTTTTCCTTACATCATTTCATCTTTACATCCATGTGGAATTTTCATGTACACCAATTTCTCTAAGTTTCCATGGAGGAATACATTTTTTACATCAAACTGCTGTAAATCTCGATCAAAGTTAACTGCACAAGACAAAAGTATTATAATTGTGTTCATCTTCGCAACAAGTGCAAATGTCTCTTGATAGTTAATCCCATAAATCTGAATAAATCCTTTAGCCACCAATCTAGTTTTGTGCATTTCGATCGATCTGTTTGCTTTGTGTTTTACAGTGAACACCCATTTGCAACCAAGTATCTTCTTTCCCTATGGAGGTAAAACAAGTTCCCATGTTTCATTCTTTATCAATGTTCTCATTTCTTCAATCATGACTTTCTTCCACTTGGGATCTTTTAGAGCTTCTCTCAAATCCTGTAGAATAGACACAGAGGAAACAGACAAGATAAAGACTCTATAGGAGGGAGATCGAGTGTCATAGGAAGTAAAGTTAGATATAAGGTGCTTTGGTACAAGTTCTCGTTCCCTTTCTAATAGCAATAGGTTTATCTAATAAATCACAAGAGAAATATAACTCATCAGTATCTTCTGAAACTAAAGAAGATTCTTGACCTGGGACAGACTGCATAATGACTTTTTCATACTTCTCTCTCCTTGAATATCTTTTCAAGTCTGATTTATCTAGATATCCAACCTTATTTTCTTGATTAAGACTTTCTGTAATAGAATTCTCCCCTGAATATAATTCTCAATCGTTACCCAATTTGGTTTCACTTCTTCCTTCTCACTCTCCCCCTGAAGAGGTGTTGGGTTTGAGTTGAAGTAAGACTCATTCTCCCTAAAGGTAACATCCATAGTTACAAAGTATTTTTTAGATAGTGGATGATAACACTTATAGCCTTTTTGGGTAGAAGAATATCCAACAAATACACACTTAAGAGCTCTAGGTTCTAGTTTATCTACATTTCTAGCATGAACAAATCACACGCATCCAAACACTTTTTAGGGGAACAATGTAAGAATTTTTTCCTTACAAAACCTCCATAGAACTTTTAAAATTCAGGATTCGTAAATACATTCTATTGATAAGATAGACAGTTAAGAGAACTGCATCTTCCCAGCAACTCTTTGGTAGATTCATGGTAAATATTAATGACCAAGTTATTTATAGTATGTGTCTATTTTTTCTTTTAACAATCCCATTTTGTTCACTAGTGTAGGCACAACTTATTTGATGAATTATCCCATTTGACTCCAAGTAGGCACGAAACCCACTATTCATATATTCTGTATCATTGCCAGTTCG